GCCCTTTCATAAGGAGGACAGATAAAGAGACTCGGGAACTAAGGGGCTAGGAATGCAAACATGTGAAGAAGGTGACCAGCCAGGGGAGCCTGAATCCTTGCCTGCAACACCCCCTCTCCCCGAGAATGCCAGGCACTGGCTATGCACTGGCGTGGGGAAGCAGCCTTCTCCCGGAGGCCTGACAGAGAGACCCTTTGTAATTGCCTGTGGTCAGGGCTGGAAAATCACACATAGGACACGTAGGTTTTTTTTTTTTTTTTTTTTTTATCAAGGAACCAGACTCTTTAGGGGAGGTTATTGAGCATTTGCGTATAACAACAGTCCTTTGTGCGCACAGCTATTGGGAAGGCTGAGGCAGGAGGATCGCTTGAGCTCAGGAGTTTGGGAATTCAGCCTGGGCAACATAGCAAGACCTCATCTCTAAGAAAACACAAATATCCAAATATACTTCTAAATTAACATCTGTATCCTACGTGTGGGCAGAAATTTGGCTCTGGTTAGAGCAAAGGCTATAAGAAAAACTGACTCCTTAGTACAGATGGGGTGGCCCCCTCAACCACTTTCATTGCTCAATGGTGTTGGTGCAGTGCTCAGATAATATTGTTCCCTCACCTGACTCATTTCTCCCTTTCATCCTCTGCCTATTCTAGATTTTTTTTTGCCCGTAACTTATTTTTATTTCTAGTATATAATATTTTCCCCCTTTCACCAAGAAATTTTACTTCCAGGACTTTACCCTGTAGAATTTTACTTCTAGGACATCTTTTACATGTGCACAAAGATACGTAGTACCTGTACAAAGCACTGCTGGGAACAACAAAATATTGAATGAAACCAAATAATTACCAATAGGGAAATATTTAAATAAAGGAAATATGTGAAACTGTTAAACTGAATGAGGTAGATTTTCATGTACACAGATGTGGAATGAGCTCTATTTCTTTCTTTCTCTCTCTCTTTCTTTTTTTAAGAGAGAGAGTCTCACTTTGTTGTTGCCCTCTGTAGAGTGCTATAGTGTCACAGCTCACAGCAACCTCCAGCTCCTGGGTCCAGGCAATTCTCTTGCCTCAGCCTCCTGAGTAGCCAGGACCACAGGAGCCTGCTACAACACCTGGCTATTTTTTGTTGCAGTTTGGCTGAGGCTGGGTTTGAACCCGCCACCCTTGGTATATGGGGCCAGTGCCCTACTCACTGAGCCATAGGCACCAGCCAGTGAGCTCCATTTCTTAAGAGAAAAGAGGCTTGGTATCTGTAGCACACTGGTTACAGCACCAGCCACATACACTGAAGGTGGTGGGTTCGAATTTGACCCAGGCCAAATAAAGAGCTACAACAACAAAAAAAATAGCTGGGCATTGTGGCGGGAGCCTGTAGTTCCAGTTACTTGGGAGGCTGAGGCAAGAGAATTGCTTAAGCCCAAGAGTTGGAGGTTGCTGTGAGCTGTGACAGCATAGCACTCTACCAAGGGTGACATA